AGTTGATTGATAATGTGATCGGATCTTTATATCCTTCCTCATTTTTATGCACTTTCTAACAATTGGGGCAAAGAGTATTGGAATCTTCAATGACACAGAATGTGTCTATAACCTTACTGTGAACATTTTTTTCCCCCCTCACGGCCTTTTGCTTTCTAAAGACTTGTGTGTTAAGGGTGATTCTCAAATCTTTCCTTAGTCCTTTGAAGTTTTCAGTGCTTATGTAAAGAAACCCCACAGTCAGAGCTGTGAAATTAGTATTCGCGTAAAAACAATGATACTTTTTTAGGAGTAATTGGACTTTGCTGCAAATCTTTCCAGACTCTTGCTCTCATGGAGTTCTGAACTTTTTTTGGCTGTACTGGGGATTGAACTCAGGCCTTCACCCCTGCTTGGGTGCATGAGCCATACCCCAATCCAGGTTTTGAACTTTTGATTCACTCTTGTAAACAGAATCTGTTTTTTGCTAGGCAAGGAAAAGAGAGTCATACTTATCTTTGGCCAACAAGTCTTATAACACAACCAAGAAGGAAAGATTTAGAATTTTCTTTGGAGTCTTATTACCAGTATACTTGTTTTATTTGTAGTTTTCTTGTGTGCACTGGATGGATAAAAGTATAAGAAACCATAGAAGTGAAATTAATTATTACTTAACAATCCCTTCTTGCTTTCTTTATATTTATAATCCAATTTGATATTTGTTTTTTAAGAAGAAAAGAAAAATTTCTAATTGTTACATGTATTTGTTTTATATTAAACAATACAATATAACATAGTAACCAAACCCTTAGATCATGGTGATCCTCAACTCTATGACCCTTTCTGATTTTCTCCCTCAGGCCATTATCAGGATCCCTGTGTAGCACTGTTGTTATCCTGTATTCCTTTTCTGTCTGTGAGTATAGCAGCAAAAGGAACTGAACAGAGACTGGGTCTTTGTCCAAGTTTAGGATTCCTTTTGTGCTAGACAGTGTCATGGGCTACAGCATATGCACCAGTAGCTAGTATAGTATGCTGGGAATTGGAAGTTTCAGATGGAGTTAGTGCAGTGTTTGTTTTCTCACATTCCTTGGCTGTTTGTTAGTTTGGTGTGGGGCTGCTGTGTGGTATTGTACTCTTCTTTTCTGGCAGCATGAGTTTTAGGTAGAGAAGATGCCCTTTTACCAAGGTTATTGTTCTTCGAGAAGGAAGTAAAAGATGGCCAGGAGAAACTCTTGTTTTCTGTAGCAAGGAATTATGAGAATATATAGAATATAGACTTGAACAGTTTTAAAAATAAAGGTATGTAAATGATTTTTTATTTTAAATTGTTTTTATCTTTGTGTTTAAAAATTAGCTATTTCCTCTAGTTAATGTAGTGGTGTGTAATTAGATTAGACAATATTTTAGCTCCCAGTGGGCTCCAGAGATACTGGATCCAACCATTAATTTGGTTTTGTTAAACTTTCAAAGCCCATAGAGAAGAGGAGTTCCTGCATTTCTACTGTGATTACAGTAGAAATGGTCCTCTTCCATTTTTGCTCACAAGGACAATCTGGCTGCTTGAGAATTTGAATCTGAAACATATACTAGTAATAGAGATTTCTTCTCTTTATGCATAATTAAATGATTTTAAAATCTAGAGATGTGAATGGTAGCAGTAATAATGTACTTAAATACCATATAGCTCTTTTTTTTTTTTTTTATAGATTTTGCCGTTTTGTAACTTTATTTCCACTCAGCTGTTAGTTCTCATCCACATTGACTGTCTGCAGATGTTTGAATGTTGTAACAGGAACATAGGTCATGTAAACAGAGCTTGTTTAGTGAGTCTTAATCCTCATTACGTTTTCTGGATAACCACATACAGATACCATACGGACATTCCTTATTCCTTTTGGCTCAGCCAGCTTTGTTGAGCCTGATGTCAACGCGCACATCTGGAATCCCCATCTTCTTCACAACAAATTCCCGGATCTCTTTGAGTGCCCAAGGGACACACTTCTTGAAGCCCAGTCCATGGATCCATTTGTGAATGTTGATGGTATATTCTCGGGTTGCCACCTCGTTGATGGCAGAATGGCCCTTCTTCTTCTCACCACCCTTCTTTGTGGGAGCCATTCCATCGGGCCCAAGTTGGAAAGGAAAGAACACAAAGGATTCCCATATAGCTTTTAATAAGCCATCCAGTGTTCCCTCTGTACTTAATCAAGAAACAGTCCTCTAGTTATTAAAAAAGTAGAGCGCATTTCTTATGGGTGGACAGAGCATGAACTTTGGAGTTAACAGCTCATCCCCAGCCCTTAATATCTGATACTTCATGCTTTCTGCAACAGTATAAAAAGAATACCATATACTTTGAGTAGTGATTATAAGAACTAAGACACCAGTATTTCCTAAATACCTGTGTTGTAAAGTGTGACTCGATCCCTTAAGAAGTAGTGTCTTGAGCATATATTCTATATGTATAGAATATGCAGCATGTGCCCTGTGGTCAAGGAGTCATCTTTGCTTTACTTTTGCATTTTCCATCTTCCTTCTGCCTTCCTTTCCCCCTGTTCCTCTCCCCTGTGGAACAACACTTATAGTATGTTATAGTTTACTTTTGTTTTATGGAACTTGGATTTTGAAAGTAAAGTGCTTAGCATAGTTTTCTAATTCACACTTAATAAATGTTCATTTTCTTTTCAGTGTTAATTTGTTTAAGAACTGCGCTAGAAACCCAGAGCCCATATCTTTTAATTACCTAGATTAAACAATAAACTACTTAATAATTTGCTGTATTTTATTTCTAATTTACTATCATAGTTCATATCTCTTACCTAAAATGTTGCTCAGTGCTTTGACATTAAAATCCTGGAAAACCAAGTGCGGTTGCGGTAGGACATAAAGAACTTTAAAACTGGTCAACTTCCTGCTTCCTTAATTCACCTCAATTTAAATATTCTTAGTATTTCATGAAGTGTGACTCAGCATCCTTGAGGAGATACACAAGTATGTTAAAGAATGAAGTTTAGATACATCCTGTGCTTGCTTTGAGTCTTTCATCACTAAGCAGGAACCATCCATATCTTTCTTCAGTGATCAGTAAGAATTCTGCAATTTAAAAAATAAGAAATACCAGCAGGGGTGTTGATCAACAGCAGAGTACTTGCCCTGACATATGTAAGCCTTGGGTTCTATCTCCAATACCAGAGAGAGAAGACGACAGATGGATTTATTTTCACAGTAAAAAGACAATGTAAGTCAAATAGAAAAAACGAAAAATCTATTTCTAAGGTAGAAAAGTATTGCTTGTTTTAGAAAAAATTGGAGAAATTGGAAGAAAATGAGTAAAATATAGATGAAAAGAATAAAAGTAATTTTATATCCAAGGTTGTCCATTGCTAGCGTGTTATCCTCATGTACTGTTTGTGTATTTCACAAAAATGATGACATTTTATAAGGCCATTTTGTAGCCTGCTTATTTTAGTTAAAAAGGCAAAGTGATGGGCAGAGTGGCTCAAGTGTAGAGCTCCTGCCTAGAAAGCCTGAGGCCCTGAGTTCAAACCCGTCCTCGTTGCCCCCTCCCTCCACCCCCCCCCCAAAAAAAAAAATAAAAGCAAAGTGAAGGCCTTTTTAGTCCACATGTCGGAAGCAGTGTTTCCTGGCAGCAGGTTAAGGTTGGAGGAAGAGTGCTATGAGGAATAAGGCTAGCTGGGAAGTAAATTAAGGTACGTATTCTATAATTCCTTATTGATTATATGTATATTGTTGGTACATGTGAAATTATGCAGAGTCAGCTTTCTATAATTTGATGAGTTTAGCTGCAGATGCAGAAAGAGTTGAATTTAACTTATTTACAAGAGGAAGTTTGTAAATGTCAAGAGTTGGTGTGTACATGGACACACCTTGTCTTAAATAAAAAGTATCAAATTAAGCCTTGGGTGGTACTTGCCTGTAATCCCAGCATTCTGGAAGTTAAGGTAGGAGGATCTTAAGTTTGAGTTCAGTGTTTGCTACATAATGAGACTCTGTCTCAAAAGATAAAGAAAAAGAAACCAAACAACAAAAAATGCAAACAAAAACCTCGAATTATTGTTACGGAGTTCCAGATGGTTTGTTGACTTTTTGAAAGTTACTAAACCAAAATACCTAATGAAAATTTGTAAAATATTTTTCTCCTGATGAAAGGTAATCCTGAAAAAAATACTGTATTTTAAATCTTGCACTTGGTCAGCAGGTGCTCTCCCTCTTACACCACATCCCCAGCCCTATATTTTAATATGATTCTGTTATTTAGAGCTTTCTTTTAATGACATCAAGAAATAAAAAAGGAAGAGAAGAAATGTATTACTGTTTTCCTGAGATTTTGAAGTTTTTTTTTTTTAAGGTGGCTATCATCCAGTGAAAATTGGAGACCTCTTCAATGGCCGTTATCATGTCATTAGAAAGCTAGGATGGGGGCACTTCTCTACTGTCTGGCTTTGCTGGGATATGCAGTAAGTGTTCTTTGTAATTTGTGCACTCGATTTCTGGCCCAGTTCAAGATCTGTCTTCTAGGATGATATGGCCAAGGGTCATTCCTACTTTGTTGTGGCATGTGAAGTGCTACTTAGTCTGGCCTACCCACTAAGATCTCCTCCACCCCCCACCCCATCTGAAGTTCATTTGCTTGGATATTTTAAAATACTAACTTTCTTTTGGCTTTATTTCTGAAGCTTATTCCTTGAAATTTCTCTTCATGAGGGTCATACTGCTTTTGTAGTAACTCATCCAGTCAAAAAAACCATTCATATATGAAATTAAAAATGTATAGGCCTTTCAGATCAATGTTTCACAACATTATTTTAAAGCCATGAACCATAGTAAAAAACTGCATTGAGCTGCAGTACATGTATGCAATGTATGTTATATGTGTGTGCCTGTGAACTGAAACATGTAATAAGAGAGCACTTTCCCTTACTATACGTAGTAACTAACATTTTTCTAGTCTACTTTATGTTAGTTAGAAAAATTGAAGCAACAAAGCATAGAAAAGATTTACCCATGGACCCATTATTTCATTGTGGCCCCCAATTTTGTAAAATACTATTTTAAAGGAAAGGTTATTTAAAGGTTCCTCCTTTTATAGATGTCATTATAACAATCATTTCTTCTGCTAATAATGTAAATAACTACTTTTTTTTAAGGGGGAAAAGATTTGTTGCAATGAAGGTTGTAAAAAGTGCTCAGCATTATACAGAGACAGCCTTGGATGAAATAAAATTGCTCAAATGTGTAAGTATTGCAAAAATATTGATATAAGAAAAATAAGTGGCTTATTTTAGAGAAGGGCTCTTCTGGGTGATACTAAATTAAAAGTAGAATTTTTTAATAAGTTCAAACACTAAATCTTTTATTTGCAAAATATCACTTTGTTGGTTGATATATGGAAAAAATTCTCCATTTTAAACTCCCCTGTTCTTGTTTTTCTTTGCATAGGTTCGAGAAAGTGATCCCAGTGATCCAAACAAAGACATGGTGGTCCAGCTCATTGATGACTTCAAGATTTCAGGCATGAATGGTATACGTATCCTTTACTTCTTGGTGACTGAATTATAATGTACTTTGTCTTTTTACTTTAAAAAAGTAGAATTATTTCAAGCCCCTGTAAACTTCTGTTTGCTGCTGTATCCCCTCCACATGAAGCTTCTAGAATCGTTGCATAGTCTTAGAACTTGGTACAACTATAGTGGTCTGGTTTGCTGGGTGTTTTTTGTCTTTTGTTTTAAAATAACAACCTGGCTTGATTTTGGATAGTTAATTATTGGTCTTTTTCTTTTAGTAATTTTGGTGAAATTTATTTTTCTGAAGTGTTTGTGGAATATATATTAGCAATTCTTTATGCTTTAAACCTTTTAAAATCAGTGCATACGGCCCATGTATGTATGTCCCAATGTCTGCAAAACACCGTATGACTCAATAAAAGGAAAAATGCTCTGCTACTGCCGATACCCCAAAATTGCATTTGAGTACTATCAGTATTAATCAATACCAATTAACTCTTAAGTTCTGCTTCTAGGATTATACTGCTGAGTCTTTCAGAAAACCATCTTTCTTCCAGGTGAACATGAAGCTTTTTGTTTGTTTGTTTTTGGTTTTAAGTGATAATAAGGATCAAACCCAAGACCTCAAGCATGCTAAGCAAGTGCTTTACCACTAAGCCGCTCCTCAAGCCCGTGGTTTTATTTATTTTACTCAGTTTGTTTACTTTGCAAATGGCAAGTAAAAGTAAAGTGATGTATTTTCTGTACTGGTAGGTAAATGGAAGAGACCATCATTGTTTTTCTAGTAAAACTTTTTTTTATGAAAAGTTTGACACATGTATAAAAATAAAGTGTAGTACAGTAAATTTCCATAAATCCATGTTTACAAATTTAGTAATTACCAAGGTCTAGCTGTGTTTTCTCTATTCTTTCTCTCTGGCAGAATTACTTTAAAGCAAAATTCTAGAAGTCATGTCCTTTTACCTCTGTAAATGTCAGTGTGCATCCTTAACAAAAGTGTGGATTTTTTTTAATGTAACTTTAAAACTCACTGAATAATATTAATAATAATTTGTTGATGGTTTTATAAAAATCACTTTTTAAAAGATTTGTTAGAATCACATTTCAACAAACAGATTGCTTTCTTCTAAATCCTCTTCCTCCTAAGTCTGTTTCATTTTATTTTAGTTGTGTGGTTGGAGATTAAATTGTTCAATTTACATTTGTTTCCTGAAAACGAAATTATCCTGATGGAAATGAATGATTCTTGAAAGCTGAGTTTCTCTTGGTCAGCTGTAAGATTAGATATTCCTCTTGCTTTTTTAAAAAGGATGGCTTAAATCCTTATTCTAGGTCCTGTTGGAAAAGAAATATGTCTAGCCAGAAAGAAGATGGATGGACCAAAGACATTTTACGACTCTCTCTTGTGGAATAACAGTTTTGACTGTGCTGCCAAGTTATTTTGGTGCCTGTTGTTTTGGAGGGACCCAGAAGCAAGTGAGTTTTGGGTTGTGGAAAAGAGGTTTGACTTTCCTCCCTGTGGAGGAATGGCATGAATATATTTTATGACCAATTTGGTAGGTTATTGTTCTGGAAGGTCAGTGACTGGCTAGAATTTCAGTTTCTTTGAATACCTTTATGGCTTTGATAGTGGTGATGTTTTCATAGGTATGTTCTGATCCCCAAATGTATCAAGATGTGTACATTAAATAAATATGTTTTTATGTGTTGACCCTACCTCTGCTAAGTGCTTTAAAATGTTGCACTCAGGAATTTCAGATTCCTGAGTTTTCATTATTACGTGCGGTTCTTAATATCGCATGTTAAATTGTGATTGTAAATTCTTTAATAGCTGCCTGTAGGATTAAAATGGTTCAAGTCATGCAGTAAGATATTATTGAAGAAAAAGGTTAAATTGGTCTTTTATTTAGGCAGGAAACAGCAGCTTACTGCTTTTGGTATTATGGATAATATTGATGTGATGTTTTATGAAACAAACATTTTGCAAGTGATACAATGATGCTGCTTTCAGTAACTGCCTCAGTCTGGGAAATGTATCCTCAAATGATCCTTAACCGTGTCACAGATGTCTGTATGGTCTTTGAAGTGCTTGGCCACCATCTCCTCAAGTGGATCATCAAGTCTAACTATCAAGGCCTCCCAGTACGTTGTGTGAAGAGTATCATTCGACAGGTGAGGTTTCTGAGGATGCCCTCACCTATAATACTCAATTGGCTAGCCTTTCACTCTGGATTTGTTTTTTACACACACACACACGGGGTGGGGGAGGAGAGAGAGACAAACAGACAGACAGAGACAGATACAGTCACTCCCTGTGCAACCCAGTTTGGCCCATAACTTGCTATGTAGTCTAGGTTGGCCTTGAACTCATGATCCTGCCTCAGCCTCCTGAGTACTGGGATTACAAGTGTGCACCACCATTCCTGACTTGGATTTCTATTTGTAATACACAGATGAATAATATTTTGAACTCTTATTAAGTCAATTTTGTATTTATATAATGTATACTATGATGTGTTGTAAAAGCAAGCAATATGTGAAGGCTAGATATACATTGCTCTTTGTATCTCAGTCCTTTTTTAAGGTTAGTGATTTAATCACAAATTATTGATTTAGTATACTCAAGACAAAGCATTCCACTTAATTCCTCAGAATAATTGAGGTCAAGTAATTGATTGTGTTTATTTACTATTTCTAACTATCCTTGCATGGAGGGAAAATCAAAGATAACTTAAGTTGTTACAAATTCTCAGTTATAAGGGGAAATAATAGGATATAACTTACAGTGTATAATATTATACACTTAAAATTTGCAGGATAGATCTTATATATTTTACCAGACACAGAAGATAACTGTGACATAAAGGATAGATTAGTTTGTGGTAATCATTACACAATGTATACATGTACAAAACATCAAGTATTAGTATTACACAGTAAATACATTCAGTTTTGTCAGCTATATCTCAGTGAGGTTAGGGGAAGAAAATTTGGGTTGTGAGAAGACAGGCAGAAGAGAGAATGGCTGTATGCCTGCATTGGCTTATGTCTAGGTTTATACTTTGTTCACTGGCTCTATGAAAAGAAAACCCTCAACTGGAGACTGGCTTACTTAAAGATACTAGTAAGTATTAGAAGAATGAAAATATACAGTGATGGGAGATGTCATCTTAATTAGCAGTTTTTTCAGATTCAGTTTTTTCACAGAATACGTAAGTCTGAGTTCTACTCTTTGCCCATACTATGTAAATTAGGAAAGTTGTGAATATGACTTAATCCTGAATTACCTATTATGGTATGATGGGTAATTATCATGGATAATTCTGCAGAGCGAGTAATTTAGCAAGGAGGTTGATTGATTTGCTTGAGAAGAGGGCTAGTGGTTAGGAACCTCTCCCCAAACCTCAGGTCTAGAGATTGAACTAAGCCTACCCAGGGCTTCCAGGCATAAAATACAGATCTCAATCCAGAATTTTTTTCTTTCCCCTTTACAAGGCATCTTAATTAGAGTCACACCCTCCATCATTATCCTCTTTCCCCAGAATTCTTAAATAGAAAAATAATCATGTTTATTCACAGTTAAAGATACATGAATTTAAGAGATGTGTGCCTGAAAAAGAACCTTCCTAGTGAGTATAGAGAGTATTTGTATGCATACGTGCAAATAAGTAGGTTTTTAAACAATTTTTATAAAAATTGTAAAGCTTAAATTGTAGTAAAAGCACCTTAGATTGTGGTTTTTCAAATTGTGTATTGGTTACTTTGTTTAGCCTACCTCTGTGTTCCTTTCCTCACTTATTGTTGTCCTTTTGTGCTGTTCATTGGCAGTTTTTCTTCTAACTTTACAGATGTTACTTAAGAAAGGTACTAGGGAAGGAAGGGGGCTATTTGCATTGTTTTATCTCAGTTGGATTGAAATACTTAATATGTAGGAGTATATAGTAGGGCATATGCTTGCCTACTACAGACTTGTGGCTTCTTTTTAAATAATGTATCTGTTCCCTTATAAACTTCAGATAGTAGCATTTTTGTTCGGGGTGGTGGGGGAGTGTATGTGTGTATGTGGTGTGTGTGTGTTTTGGAGGTATTCGGGTTTGAACTTTGGGCTTCAGGCTTGCTAGGCAGGTGCTCTACCTCTTGAGCCTCATGTCCAGCCCCTCAGTCATTGTTTTAACATACATTATTATCTCAAATGAAACGACATGGTTCCTTTAATATAAAAAAGTGGTGAAGGTGAAATTAGCATATTAATTAGCATGTTATCTCTACAGATATACTCTGGAACTTGTAACTTTTAGTGGTGACTCTAAAACTCTTAAAAATCATCTTGTTAAAATTTAGGAAGACTTTTGTAATTTTTTCTAATAAATCATGAAATATTAAAGGATTTACTTATTCTAAAAAGAGCTGCCTGCATTTCACAGAGTTGTCCTCGTTCCCCAGAACTTTGTACTTTAAAGATAGCTGCAGCTGCCATGGGTTATTGACCATATCACTACCCTTCAGGCTTGCTAGTGTAAAAGGGTGAATTTCATAGGCAAGTTTTATGTTCCAGGGTGGGAAAACACAATCTGGCCATTCTTAGCAAGTGAAGGAGTCTGCAAATTGAAAGGTGAAATTCTGAGAGTTTTGTGGAACCTCTGTGTATAATTGTTGTATAAACTTATGCGTTCATGTTATCCTCCCAGAATTCATATATCCTATTCTTTATGGAGATTCTCTTATGGGTAGTGGTGCTTTTATTTGCTTAGGAGAGTGTGTGTGTGTGTGTGTGTGTGTGTGTGTGTGTGTGTGTGTGTGTGTGTGTTTTGAGATGGGGAGGGTCTCACTGTGTTGTACAGGTTGGCCTTGAACCTCTGGACTCAAGGAATCCTCACACCTCAGCCTCCCAAGGCATGGGATTACATGCCTGGCTGAGGAAAGAACTCTTAGAGCGTTTGATTTGTCCAGAAAAACTCCACAATAAAATATGTATTTATTTATCGACTCATTCATTCATTTATTAGAACTGGGGTTTGAACTCAGGGTCTCATGATTGCTAGGCAGGCTCTCAACCACTTGAGCCACTCCACCAGCCCTAAAATTTTGATTTTTAAAAGTTATGTGGCCTGTACTTTGTTCTTACATTCTGTGTTAATAGATTTTGTTTTGTTTGGGAATTTGAATTCATCGTTACTTAAGAAAAATATTATCATGAAATCTTTATTGATTTCTAAGCTTTCTTAGAACCTTCACTGTAGTGAATTGCTAGAAGGTAGGTTGATAGGTAGATCTCAGTAAATAATCTGCATACCTGTTTTTTGCTTCATTCCCTTTGGTTCAGCCTGTGTGGACTCAGTGTTTCTGACTCCTGGGCAGTACTGGGAAAATCCTGTATTGATAGACCTGCATTGTTATATAATTTCTCAGAATAAGCCAGCCTAGGCCAGTTTTCTTAATTTTCTTTCATCATTGTCTTCCTTGCCTTAGAAGCCAGATATACCTGATCACGTTTCAGTTGTTCTTGTTGTTTTGTCACAGTGCATCACCAGGCACTCAGCCATTACGGCATGCTCCTATCTCATGCCTATCCCTCTTGACATTTTAAAAAATTTCAGTACCATCATCTTTAGTCCAGGCCTTTTTACCTCTGGCCATTACCTTTTCATAGGCCTGTCTATTCTCTGTACTCGTCGCATCTGTTCATTTGTTCTCCTTTCTATTGCCAGTAATTAATTAGTCCTTAAATTCATAGTCGCTATTTACAAACCTTTAGTAGCTTTCCATCACCTGTTTGCTGCAGCTTAATGTTTTTGGCTTTCATGAAGCAATAAATGAAGTGGTTAAGATCTTGGGTGTGGGGTCAGATAATATCCTACTTGAGCCGAATGACTTGCTCAGGTTTTTTTTTTTTTTTTCTTTTTTGGTGGTATTGGGGTTTGAACTCAGGGCTTTATGCTTGTTAGGCAGGTGCTGTACTGATTCAGCCATACCTCTAGCCCACTGTCCAAGTTTTTTAGCTTGCTTTAGTATAATCGTGTCACTAATAAAGTGAGAACAATAATAGCACCCTCTTTATTAGGTTATTGTGAAGATATAAAGATAGTACTGTGTATATTAGCAAATATTCAGTGCTTACTATGCTCTAGGCATAGTTCTGAATACTTGACACAGTTCAATTCACTCAATTTTCACCACCTTACAAAGTAGGTAATGAGGAAACTGAGGCATAGAGAGGCTAAGTAATTTGTCTCAAGTCAAACAGTAGAAAGTGGTGGAGTAGGAATTGAAATTCAAGGTAGTCTCACTTTGGAGCTTGTGTGTTTACCATTTTTTGCCAAGTAGTGCATGTGTTTGGAATTGTACTCAGCCTGTGTCCAATAGAATTTAAGTAACCTGTTCTTCCAGAGAATCAGTTTAAGATCTTTTACCATCTGGTGACAGCCCATTAATTCCCTTTACAAACAAAAGTATGTCCTTCAGGTACCCAGTGTCTCTCCTGGAATTTATAAATACTCAAAGTTGTTCCAAGCAATTACAAACACATAAATTTACCATGATTTTTATTCCTAAGGTTTTGCTTGTTTGACCCCTAAATGACCCTGGTCATTTTCTATCTCCGTGTCTCTGATCATTTCTTTGGTTCTAGGCTGCTGAAAATGCCATCCTTCCTTTCTGTTCTCTTCTTAAGGATCAACCCAGTTCTCTCACACTATCCTAATTGAGATTGATAGTACTTCTTCTGTGGGATGTCCACAGTTCACATTTGGTCCTTTAACTGATCACAAATCCAAAATATCACCTCCTCCCAATGATAACAGGGTCTCTTGATTGCTAGAGACCTCCCACTCTTGAGCCATACCCCCTGCCCTTTTTTGCTTTAGTTATTTTTCAGAGAGGGTCCCACGCTTTTGCCGAGGGCCAGCCTTGGACTATGATCCTCTTTCCTTTGCCTCTTAATTAGCTGGGATCATAGGTTTCTGCCACCATGCCCTTCCCTAATTGCAGGATTTTGTAAGTGTAGACCAGATGTCAATCCTTGTGCAGTTGGCATTTTAGATTGGGTGATTCTTTGTTGAGACCACCTGTCCTATACATTGTAGTGTGTTTAGCAGCATCCCTGGCCTCTCAGTTCTTACAAGTTGGAGGAGACCTCAGCAGGTACTTGTCTATTCAGTTTTACATTTTGACTTTCACAACCAGTTTGTAGAACTTGCTTCATGTCTGTTTTACTGAGGATGAGAAATCCAGTGGGAGCGTGAACTTTTCTAGTAGGAAATATTCTGGGCTTGAGGACAGCCCCTCTGGTGTTTCCCTGAACACCCACAAGTAATTAATAGCTAAATTAAGGACTCTTGCTTGGGGCCAGCCTCCTTTCCTCTGCCAGCCCATCTGGCTGCCTGTTTGGTTTCCCTTGGTGCTTCATTAACTTGTTAGCAACAGAGCAAGAGGCAGACAGAGTCTTATTTCCTGGTGTTCTATATTCAGGCAGGGGAAGAAAAAACTCCCCAAATTGACACCAGCATCAGAACATAGTTTTGAAAGTTGCTCACATTCCATTCTTCTTTACAGTTCATAATTCTGGGGGAGGCTTCACTCTGTGGACAGTGAGTGAGGCCAGGAGACAGCCTTCTAGAGAGGATCTCTATATTATTGTAGACTTAACTCCTTTTATCTGCAAGATTATAGAACCTGTTTCAAGCAAAGTCATGGTGGAGAGGAACAGGTGATGTTAAGACCCGTAGCAGATCATGTCTGACACAGCTGTTGATGTACAGAAAGATACCTTATAGATCAGTGTGACCAGACCCCATTTTAATGGTGAATTTGAGGTTCGGGGACAAAAAGGGACTTTCTCTGAGCCAGTAGCGAGTTAATTCCTGAACCAGAAACAAACTAACTGGGGGAGGGGGTAGATTTCTAGCTTCCCACCTTGGACTTTGCCTTCACTTTTGTACCATGGCTGCACTCTTAAGTCTCACCTCACATGGAGAAACCTGGTTGGCACCCCTGGTGGATGATGGTGGCTCTGCCCCTGGATGTCTTGATTGGATGTCTGAACTCACTCATCTTTCCTGGCAGCCACAGGACATCTAGCAGCCACTGCTGCCTGCTGCTGCTCTCTGCTGCTGTGGTTTTGAGGCAAGCAAGACAAACTTATAGGATGATTTAGCAAGTGAATATAAGGGTAAAATTAGTATAGGCTCTTTAAATTCAGTCAGATATTGCAATGGGAGATCTATCCTTGGCCATGAAGCTTGACTGATTGTCTTTATTTTTCTGTCATCATGGTTATAAGATTTCTCATCAGTTTGGTTTGGAGTTCTTTATTACCTTAAACTTTATATGTTAACTAGTCACTATCAATACAAGCCTTTTCTCTTAGTTTAGCTCTACCATTTGTTTTAAACTTCCCAGTGTGCCTGAGCTTGTTTTTGTGAATTTTCCAGGTTATTTCTAATTCTTATTATATTCATGTCTAATAGATATGATTCCTTCCTTTTAATAGACATGAAAATGGGCCAGGCACCCGTGGTTCAGGCCTGTAATACTAGCTACTCCAGAGGCAGAGATCAGGAGAATAGTGGTTTGAAGCCAGCCTGGGCAAAGAGTTCATGAGACCCAATCTGAAAAGAATCCGTCACAGAAAAGGGCTGGTAGAGTGGCTCCAGGTATAGGCTCTGAGTTCAAGCCCCAGTACTGTAACTGAAAAAACACCAATAACAGCACAACCAACAAAAATTGACATAGCACTTCATACCCACTTAGTATGGCTAAAATAAAAAAGTGTGGGTCAAGTTGAAGAAATGGGAATCATCATACATTGCTGGTGGGAATGTAAATTGGTGTAGCCTCTGTAGAAACAATGTGGCAGGCCATCACAAGGCTTACTACAGAGTTACCATATGATCCAACAATTTCCCTCTAAGTATATATATACCCAAGAGACATGGCCACACAAAAACTCATACATGAATGTGCATAGAAGTATTATTTTTAAAAGCTAAAAAGCGGAAACAATTTAGATGTCCATCAAATGAATGGATAAACAAAATATCGTAAGTCCATACAGTGGAGTATCTTTCTGTAGTAAAAGGAAATGAAATACATACTACACAAGTGTGAACCTTGTGTAACATGTTTTTAATTATGCCAGTTGCAAGAGGCCATATAAACTGAATCATATCAATTCCATTTAAGTAAGGCGTACAAAATCAGCAAGTAAGATTGGTTAGAACTGTAGGAGGTGTATGTGTAGGAGGGAGATGGGATGTGACTGCTAATGGGTGTGGTGCTTTTTGGGGTGATGAAAATGTTCCTAAATTAGGTAATGATGGTGGTTGCACATCTAAAATTAAACTGTACAATTAATAGAGTGAATTGTATGATAGGTGAATTACTTTTCAGTTAAGTTACTAAAGAAGTATATATAGAGAAACAATTGCTTTCATGAGCATAAATGATCTCTGGAATGATATACATTGACTGCTTTTAAAGGAGAGCTGGGTTCCGTTCCTGTGTGGGGGTAAAAGGAGCTTTTTACTGAATACCTTTTTGTGTTTATTGGGTTTTTACCCTGTGATTATATTGCCTGTTTTTCAAATAAATAAAAGTTAAATAATAAAGTTATTAACAACTCCTTTCCTCTTGATTTTACAATGACCAGGTCCTTCAAGGGTTAGATTATCTACACAGCAAGTGCAAGATCATTCATACTGACATAAAGCCAGAAAACATCTTGATGTGTGTAGATGATGCATATGTGAGAAGAATGGCAGCCGAAGCCACTGAGTGGCAGAAAGCAGGTGCTCCTCCTCCTTCTGGGTCTGCAGGTGAGGGAGCCAAGCCTTCTTCATTTCAATCTGCTTTGGGGACATTGTGAACTTTCATAGTTGCACAATGAAGGCAACTGAGTCAAAAGTGTGTCTACATACGGGAGAATTTTTTCTAAGGGCTTGGTTAGTGAAAATAACTCTACCTTTTTCTTGAGAAGAGGCCCCAATTAAGTTGTATTTCAGTATTTGAGTTACTTATCTTGTCCTCTAAAAGGACATTAAATTCTTAACTGCTGCTTCATCTGCATATGAACATAAACATAGTAACAGGTTTTGTATAGCCAACAAGAGTCATCAGAATTTTTTTTCAGCTTCAGTTTTGTTAGAATGCTTCTTTCTCTTCAGTTAACATTTTTGTATCAGTCTAAATTTAACTGGTACATTTAGAATTTGTTACAGAGACCTAAATGGGTAGAGAAGACGACCAAGTGACGTCAGTATTAGCATGTAGACTTTTATTTCTGTATTTCACAGAATTCAGTGGTGGCAGTGAAGTGTTGGCTGTTCTTTCATGTTCTTTTTACATTGTCTGTGCCCCGGTATGTTGTCAGGGAAGTGTATAAACTAATGGACCAAGTCTCCTTTGACTTTCTGGGGTTCTGGGGAAATGTGCTATCGCCATATCTCATTTACCACCCACAGGGTGTTACTTAGATCATGGAACCAGCCAATCAAGCTTTTGCTGCCGGTAGGCATTTAATATGATTTCTGGAATCATTGCTGCAGTACGGTATTATTTGATTTAGTTTAGTTGGATGTAGCTTGCCAAATAAATTTCAAAATAGATACACATCTTTTCATGTAAATTGTTCATTTCACTGTGAGTAAAACAGATTTGATTCAATGACTGTATGATTTGTGAAATCATCTTGGTGCTTTAAGAGTGACTATTTCTGAAATGTATTGATATTTAATTTTAGTTAAATAAGAGAAATGGCTTAGTATGAACAACTTCTGCTATGCCCTGTGAAGAGTCCGTCATTTGTTTAAATTGGATAAACTATCAATAAATCCCTATGACTAAGAGGCTGTGATTTTTAAGCTTTTAAAGATAGATAGCCATTAAAAAACAATAATTATTTAAATTATCAAAGATATATGTATACATTTATATATATTTTTCTCTTACTATGTATTTTGTTTTGTTTTAGTGAGTACAGCTCCACAGCAAAAACCTGTAAGTATTACACATATACTTACATTCAGCATGTCAGCATGTTATATTCACTGTTGAACTTTTGAAATTATAATAGATGTTCTGATGTATATTAACTTAAAAGGTAGATATGTTTATAAATATGTAAGACTTCCTGTTTTAAGTTGATCTGATTTCTATAGAATTAGAACAATCAAAGCTGGTGCAAGATCGGTCTTCATTATGTACTTTCTGAGGTGCTGTTGGCTAAGTTTGGTGAATTGTGAGGTGATGAGATAGGACCTGAAGTATGATTATTCCAAAACTCCTTTGCATTACTTCTGGTTGGTGTCCAAGCTACGACTTTTCTTTGTTGTACTAATTTTTTTTTTTCCACAACTCCTTGTTTAATAGTCAGTGGGGCTGGGGATAAGCTAAGGGATAGTGCACTTGCCTAGCATGCATACGGCCTTGCCTTCAATCTCTAGCACTGCAAGTAAAGAAAAATAAGTAGGAGAAGAGAGTATTATCTATTATTCTGTTGAAATATTACAATAAAAAAGTCCTCAGTTTGGAATGGAAGTTTTAGTATTAAGGAGGACCTATTAGAATTAGGCTTCCTAGCCTGCCTGGAAGCACAAATCATTTCCACAGTTTTGCTTGAGGGCTTGAGTTCACTGGTCATTTGAAACACTGAGGCTCTCATTTCTTAGTACTTTCGAAATCAGATGCCCATAATTAGAGGCAGACAAAATCTGTCTTTTTCTGTTTTGTCTTTTTATATCATATGCTCATTTGAAGTTCATGTTATTTTGGCTATTAATTACAGCTCAGTATGAGAGCTTTTACTACCTGTTTTGGCATGTATTTTTTTTTTTTTTTGTCAGTAAGGAGATGAGACTGATACTACTTTTTATATAGATAGCAGCAAATAAAACTTGGCAAGAAGAGCTACTTGTTTAAAACAAAGTATTTCAGAATATTCGGTTCTCCTAGAGTTTAAATGTTAAAGACTTTCTGATATAAGCTATATCCCTTTGAGGGGAGGACCTAATAGTGTCCAGCTGTGTTTTTTACTATAAGTACAAGGTGGATCCTCTGTCTGGGCTTGTGAGTTTAATTGAATATGACTTGAAAAAGCAGAGTTTGCTGGTATTTGCCATGCTATAAGCATTTGTACTATTGTGTGGTGCTTTAGAAAAAAGCAAACTGACCTGTGGAATTTTCTTAACATGCTATAGATAGGAAAAATATCTAAAAACAAGAAGAAAAAACTGAAAAAGAAACAGAAGAGGCAGGCTGAGTTGCTAGAAAAACGCCTACAGGAGATAGAAGAATTGGAGCGAGAAGCTGAAAGGAAAATAATAGAGGAAAACATTACCTCCGCTGTTCCTTCCAATGAGCAAGATGATGAATATCGCCCAGAGGTGAAGCTAAAAGCAGCAGGATTAGAGGAGGCAACGGAGGAAGAGACTGGGAAGGACAATGGTTAGTGGAATCTGCAAAGGGACCAGTGGGGTCCCATAAACTTCATGAACAGGGACCAGCCAAGCCACCACATGGGTTGGCTGTGCTGCTGCTTTAGATAATTAAGGATGCCTCCCTCCAACTCCTTGTTGGGGGATATGGGAAGCAGCCTGCACTTTGTTTATAAAATGTATGTCAAGCATATGTTAAGATTTCAAACTAGATTTTTTAATAATGCAAATTGTGGGCTAGAGGCATGGCTCAAGTGGTAAAGCACATACATTGCAAGCATAAAGCCCCAAGTTGAACCCCAGTACTGCAAAAAAAAAGGAAATGACTTAGAAACACCATCACTCTTTCCTAATGATGACCCTTTCTTTTGCCTAACTATAATGCACCACAAATCTCTTTCTGAAGATTGTGGAGGAAAGGGTCAAAATGGGAAGTCAACTTTATTCATAAATTTGTTTTTCCCAAGAGCTAACTTGTTCTAAGAAGAGTAGGCCTCGTATTACATAAGTGAAAAACAGGATTTACAAAACCTGAAGGTTTTGCCCTGAAAAACAAGAGGTATGGACTATGTGCTGCATAATTTAAACATATTGAAAAGATACCTCTTGTTGGGCATGGTGGCTCACATCTGTAATCCTGGCTACTCAGGAGGCACAGATTGGAAGGATCAAAGTTCAAGGCCAGCCTGGGAAAAAATTTAATGATATCTCTCCCTCCCCTAATCTCTACAAATAAACCAAGTGTGGTAGCACCCTCTAATCCCAATTACATGGGAGGCACAGGTAGTATAATTGAGGTTCGGGCCAGTCCAGACAAAAAACATGACCTGCTCTAAGTTGGGCGTAGGTGGCTCATGCCTATGCCTGTAATCATAGCTGTTTGGGAGGCTGAAAACAGGAGGATTGTTGTTCCAGACCAGCCTGGGCAAAAAGCAAAACCCTGTCTCCAGAGTAACCAGAGCAAAAAGGACTGGAGGTGTGGTTCAAACAGTAGAGTGCCTGCTTAGCAAGTCCAAAGCTCTGAGTCCAAATCCCAGTACCACAAAACAAAATAAATAACCTAAAGCAAAAAGGGCTGGAGATGTGGCTCAAGTGGTAGAGTGCTTGTATAGTGAGTACTAAGGCCATGAGCTCAAAATCATCTCTTGCATAGTGTGCTTGAGGCCCTGGTTTCAACTCCCAAAAAATAGCATATCTTGTTAAAGAAAATAAGTACCTAGTGGTACTGTGTTGAGTAACAAGTCCTAATTCTTAACCCATCAACCCTTTAAGGTGAAGCTGAGGACCAGGAAGAGAAAGAAGACGCTGAGAAAGAGAATGTTGAGAAAGATGAAGATGATGTTGAACAGGAACTTGCAAACATAGACCCTACATGGATAGAGTCCCCCAAAACCAATGGTCATATTGAGAATGGGCCATTCTCACTGGAACAGCAGCTGGAGGATGAAGAGGATGATGAGGATGACTGCCCAAATGCTGAGGAATATAACCTTGATGAGCCAAATGCTGAAAGTGATTACACATATAGCAGCTCCTATGAACAATTCAATGGTGAATTGCCAAATGGACAACATAAGATTCCAGAGCCACAGTTTCCAGAGTTTTCCACCTCATTGTTTTCTGGGTCCTTAGAACCTGTGGCTTGCGGCTCTGTGCTTTCAGAGGGATCACCACTTACCGAGCAAGAGGAAAGCAGTCCATCCCATGACAGAAGCAGGACAGTTTCAGCTTCCAGTACTGGGGATTTGCCAAAAAGTAAGTGTCCTTTCCTAACCACACTCAGCTTTCACTGGTCCAGGGTCACACCTTTGACAAACACTGAAAGGAATTGCCTGGGGTGGAAAACCCATGTACATGAGCAGCAAACATTTTTATCTTACTGCTTTTAGACTCAAGAGCAAGTAGTGTGCTTTAAAAATGTATGTGTGCCATTTTCTCTTACTCTCTGCATATGAAATTACATTTCTGATTTTTTCATTCTTTCTGTGTTTAGTCCGTGACGTCAGAAATTTGTAAAAACTTTTCTGGTGTAGCAACCTTGTAGCTTTCTATAACTTGTAATTTAGTTTATGTTCTGTAAGTCCTTCTATCTGATTGTGTTGTGCTTAGGTTTCCTTTCTATTCAAGAAAACATCTGCCTGTTCTGTGGTTATACTGAGAAAGAAGTGTCATGATTTTGATAGTTGTCCCTGATAATAGAACCCTGCTACTGATCACTGGCCTAGGATTATAATTTTAAAGAAAGTGGCATGGATTTAAACATGATGACAGATTATAGATTGAATCTTTTCTTACTGTATACCTTCAAATCGTCATTTTGGAAGTAGTTGTCACATGACATATAGGTAATGACTTCAGTAAAAGAAAACTGGGCATCACAGCTGGTTTACATTCTGGTCTGCAGTAGAAAAGCTCAGAAACCTCCTCTGCTCCCTCTGCTGACAAGAGTGCTTAAGACATAGCAAGTAATTGATACCAGTCCTGCAAACAACCCAAGAGACTGCAAGCTCTTGTCATTCCAGCTGACCAGCAACTTGCACTCTGAGGAAGCCAGTAGCCTGTGTTACTCACCAGCTGTAGCTGTCATCCTAGCAAGCGTTTTTGTTTTTGGTGGTGGTTTTTCTTTTTACTTGGCAGGATATGTTTAAGTTTCTAGTCACTCTGTTAGGGAGTGAAAGGCTTCACATGAAATGAAGGATTCATTTCTAAAAAAGGATAGCAGTGACATGTACCTTCTCCACATTTATGATTGCTGTTACAGTTCAGTTTTTATGCTATTTCAGATTCATACAGCAAGTCATTTACACAGTAGCCCTTTACTCGTTATTTTGCAAATGGCAGTTTGGGGAATGGCTTCAAATATATGAAATTAAATCCCAACTCAAAACCTAATGGCTATAGAACTTTGGTTTCTTAACATCCCTTAACCTCTGTTTCTGTGTCAAAGGAAAGCAATAACTGCTTTCCTTAGTATCGTCTTAAATAGATAAATGGTATAGGTGAATAAGTAATTTGTACCATGCAATAGTAATAATGTATGAAAAATTTCTCAGTGCATGTTCCTTGGCTATCACAAGCCCTGACAGGGACATGTTTGCTGCCACTATGCCATGTTGGCAATATCCAAGGCCCAGGATGGGTACTGCTTAGTACAGTTACTTGCCAGTAACTCATAGCTCCTGATCCCAGGCCTCCCTGCTGGTACAGCTCCATCCACCACATTTTTATTCACATTGGGAAGGGAAGAGAGAAAGTAAGTACAGTTTAGGCCTGGAAAGAAGAAAAAAAAAATTCCTATGGGAAAAATTGTAGTGAACAGATGATGAGAAGAAATGTTCTAATTAAAAAAAGGTAAAAGCCCATTGAAGACAGATTACTTAACGCAGAGCATGTTGTTTGGGTTTAAAAACTACTCAGAATCTCAGCACTTAGGAGGTAGACAGGTGGCTCATGACTTTGAGTCCAACCTGGGCCACATAGCAAGACTCTGTCTCAAACAAAACAAAACAAAACAAAACAAAAAGATACTCTGGCATCCTATCAGAAGCTATCCACACGTCTTCATTGGCAAAAGCCTGTGATAGTGTCCTAGCCTGTGTTGTCTCAGAGGTGGGCATCATGAGTGGTGCAGGTCAATTAGGAGAAAGGGTATGAGTTTTGGCCGCGAGGTGCTATATAAACATAAGGTAAAAGAAACAGACTTTATCATGTTTGCCTTAGGTCTTTGCCATTAGAGTGAAATGTACCATCGGAGAATAGCAGAAGAAAGGTTGGGGCAAGATGGTGTTGTTTGAAGAAGAACTTAAATTACAGCTTGAAGGATATACTTTTTTAGAGTAGTTTGACTGGCATTGAAGGTTTAGAAGGAGAGGCAGCTTCCTCCTAGGTCATTAACTGCTAAAGCTGTAGTAGCTGCCTTGGCTTATGACATCTGAAGGACAAAAGTCATGGGGCAGAGTGGTCTCTTGGTTTTGCTTGAGTTCTCCTCACAGTGTCATTCAGTTACCGTCAGCCCCTGTCCAGGCAGTTCTCCATAGAATAGTTCAGAGCCTTCTTTTTTAAAACATATCCCCTTATCTTTGCCTTCCCATCCAAAAAATTCTCCAGAGTAATTCCCACATAGAACAATACTCTGAGACATTTCTTTCCAAAGGTGAGGAGCATTCCCACACTCTTCCCTGTCAGTGCTCTGATGTTGCATGCCTTGTCTGTATTACTCATGCTAATTTGTATAATGTTCCTCAAAATTTTGAACTTGATTCTGCCTCAGGGCCTTTGCGTTTCCTATCTCCTCTGCCTAGAACTACCCCCTCCGTGCCTGCCTTGAATGTCACCTTCACAAACCACATCCTCTCCTGAATTACCCTTCATCTTCATTTCTCATGTTTGCTTTGTTTTTCTTCATACATATGTAGTTACTTGATACATAAACTGTGTGAATTACTCTTTTACTTTCATTATTAGCCATATTGCCAACCACTGCATGAGTTTCTTAGTCTGGGGGGTGTCTTTATTCTGTTTCCAGTGCTGAGACAACACCTGGCACACCAAGGGTCTCAATATTTGTTGAATCAATGGGTCAGGTATTGGCATTAAGTCACCTAGTTCTGCCATTTCCTTGGGCCTGGTATATGCACGCCTTCCTTGCTGGGCGTTTTTAAACTATAAAGAAGTGGTGTGTTATACACATGTGATGCAGCTGTCCCATTGTGCTGTTGGCACCATCTTGCTAGCTGCGGGAATAGATTCACATGTAATGAATTCCCTCAGTGTTACCAGACACTGACTTATCAGAAAGTGAATTGAAGACCCCAACCCTTCCTGAAGTGGTATCTTCCCACTTACTCAACCTTGGTGGAAGCAGAGGGCAGTTGCAGACTTTGTGTTTTAGAAGGCAGCACATAGTCATTTGTGCTAGTGTTATCAGAGGAAAGAAAAATGAAGCAGTGACAGGTCACAGTAGGCGGTGCTTAATCAGACGAGGCGATCTCAGTCCTGCAAAGTAAACGTAGAGTGATTATGTAGCAAACATGAGCGTCCTTATGTCCATACTGGTTTCTGGAGTTGTAGGCAAGTCTTAAGCACAGGAAGCATTACAGTGAGAAAGCAAATCAGAGATACAAGTAGAATCTCTTTACCTCCTGTTGTGTTCATATACAATCAAATTATTGAGATAAATTACACAGTATCATTTAGAACACATTGTGAACTAAATAACTATTTACAAACCTGAACCTGGAGAATAATAGCGTGTCACCAAAGAGATTTTGTTTAGTGAGCATAAGTGAGGGATATTAAATACGAAGAAACTGTATACTTAAATGTGTGGTGATGGTATCTCTGGAAATAGATTCCCTCTGGTGTAATTGAATCATGCAGCTCCCAGGAGGTATATTTAAAAACAACAGCTAGGAGTGGGTGGCAGATTGCAAATCCCTCCTTCTATGTGAGTGCCTCAGTTACCTGCTCTCATGAAGAAGAAATGAAATCTTCCTGTGGTTCAGGAGACCACAGAATGTCTTTGTAGCTTCCTCTTCTTCCTTTATTAGACCCTTGATACTATTGTTTAGAGAAGGTAATGAACTCATCTTTGACTCCCTCCACTGCCTGTTCTTTCTTCTTTCCTGAAAACAGAATCTCAAAGAGTTGTCATTTGCCAGTCATACAACTTGTTGGTTGTAATTTGCAACTTAGATTTGAAACCATTCTGCAAATCTCAAATTCCTACTGGTTTCTGTTGACAGAACTCAGAACTCATCTAGCTATTTCTAGTGTTGTCCATTTATCTGCTGTGTCAGCATTTTTATGTTTATCCTGGAACACTCTTCTTACCCTCTTACACATTTTGGCTTCTCCTATATTTTTTTCCCCTCAGCTTCTATACCTGTCTTTTGGTGGAGGCTCTTGTGTTTCAGAAAACTTATAAAGAGGGTTTCAGGCATAGTACAGGTGGCAAGAGGAGACCCTCTGTGCCTGGCTGGCTTAGGTTGATCCACAAGCTGAGGAGCAGACCTTGACAGTTAAAATATTAGCTGAAGTTCTCTCAGCATCCTCTGAAGCCCTCTTTGGAAGCTCCATGGGAGCTGTTGGTCCTTGCTGGTGTCTGCTGTGTGTGCTGTTAACAAAGCTTGCCTTCCTGCCTGTGTGGGGTGCCGGAGAATTAAAACTCTTCAAGCACTATGGTTCACAGTTCAGTATACCCCAAAAGAGGTTCATGCTAGCACTGCCAGCTTTGAGTGAGCAAATGGACTTCCTGTTTAATACTTTGCATTGAGCAAGCCTTTTTTGTTTAGTCTGTAAATACTATTTCAAAATGACTTGTAAAATAAATACATTTCATCCTTACCAGAAATCTGAGCTTGTTAGGCCCTTTTAGATGTGAAGATGAAGATTGCTGACTCACTTCAGAATTTTTTCTCCCTAGATATCACCAAGTTACTATTTTTTTTTCACCTACCTTCTGATTGACTGTATTTTATATATATTGTATAGTCAGGACTTAGAAGCTCTGAACCCACCAATCCAGGAAACCTAGCCCTATGCCTGCCTTGAGATCCCTCAAGATTACCCTGGAATTGAGAGTAACCTGAGTAGGTGACAAATTCATGAGGAACCTCAGAAATTGCCTTTTTGGACCAGTTTTAGAAGTCTTCTGTTTCTAAAATTTGATCAGAATCAATTAGTCCTTGCCTTTAATTTGTATTAATCAACTTCCATCTTACCCTTGACATGTATATGTGCTCAGCCCAAGCACATATACATGGAGCTATAGGGGATATAGCTATAGTTCACCATGCTTTGTCAGGTGAACTACATGCCTCTGAGAAATGATTGGTAACTTGCAACAACAGTACTTTGTTTGTCTTTGTTTCTTTAGTAATGCATCAGTGAGCTTGATATAACCCATGAAGGAATTGGCTCTGATCAGATGAGTAGCAGTCTCAAAGTTACAGGCAGGGAACACAGCAAGGCTGTCCTGTTCTAGGGCTGACCTGGGGGTGAAGGAATCAGTGATGAGGAGAAAGGACAAGACAGTGTTCATGGCATCCTCTAGACGATTCAGCGTGCTTTCTTTGTGGAATATTTTCCAGAGATGGAGACAAACAACTTTTAATTCTGTTGGAGTCAACTTATAGGATTCTAGGTCTATATGATTGTACCTGGAAAACATTGTGCTCATACATGCAAACCACTTGTTCTAGTCACTAACTGTCCTGCTATTTGCCCATGCCAGCAAAAACCCGGGCGGCCGACCTGTTGGTGAACCCCTTGGATCCGCGAAATGCAGATAAAATTAGAGTAAAAATTGCTGATCTGGGAAATGCTTGCTGGGTGGTAAGTAGCATTTTCTTTCTAAAACATTTTGGTCACAAATTTTGTGCAAGAAGATGTGTTTTCAATGTCTGTATTCCTCCATGGTAATGCATCTGTTCCTTTCCAGCATAAACACTTCACAGAGGATATCCAGACGCGTCAGTACAGATCCATAGAGGTTTTGATAGGAGCAGGCTATAGTACGCCTGCAGACATTTGGAGTACAGCTTGCATGGTAAGAACAGCCTTTGCCATTTTCTTTTGGGGATTGACTTTTCCCTTTAATGTTTTTGATGGGTCAGAGTCTTACTGGGGCACATGGTTTCAATTTTTCTAAATGTAAAAATTGTCTAGTGTGGGATGGTGAAGATAAAGAAGTTTCATCTTTGGGGATCTTAACATTTGGAAAAATTTGGGGCTGGAGGCATGGGGCCAGTGGTAGAGCATTTGCCTAGCAAGTGCAAAGCCCTGAGTTCAAACCCCAGTACTACCACCACCCCCCAAAATATTGGAAGAATTCTGCTCACCTGTGCTCAAGGGGTTTGGTTTTATTTGGGTCTGGTCTTATGAGAGATGACCTCTTCTTCAGGCCCTGTGCAGCCCATTGCCCCAAGAATCAGAGTCATCTGTGGTGACACAGTGTAAGGAATTGCTTTTGATTCCTGAAAGCTCACAGATTTTGTGGGACTTCCCCTTCACTCAGATCATGGAGGAAGATAAGGAACTATCTCTTAGGGGAGGGTTGTCTGAGGCTGCAAGATTGGAACCTTGCCAGGTGGCCTCTGCTAGGTCAGCCAGCGATCAAGAATTCCATATCTCCTTGGCAGTAAGGAAGGGCTGTCTCTGCGTGCCAGTGCTCAGCCTCTCTCTCTTTGTAAAACAAATCAAGATAGTGCTCTTGCCCACTGTCCTTCCTTGGACCCGTCTGTCCCCTAGAGAAGAGGAGTGCCTCCTTTGGCTAGCAGGAGGCTGCCCTTCCACCTGTGACCTTGAGCTTCAGCGTATGTAACCCACTCAGCCCCAGCCCCA